ATTTCAACTGTTTTAAGCTTTAGTATATAACTACTCAAGCTTAATTTGAACTTGAATATTCATAATTAGCTTGAGCAGGAGTATCTAGGAATTCGATTCGACAGGGCTTGTAGGAACCCTACTTCTACCCCAAACTGCGGGGTCTGCTATTTTTTGTTCAAAAAAATTACTTAGTGCTAATACATATATGGTATATTTACTGTTAACTCTTGGCTTGTATGTCAGTGCCACATATGATTTATAAAACATAGCATAAAATCACTAGTAAATCGTCAAGCATCTAACTGATTTTAAAGTTTTGAAATTGTGATATGTTTTATTTTTATATCATTTTACTATTATTCAAAAAAAATCATCAAGGACCTAAAAAAACATGCAAATGCCAGAGCCCAAGGTGGGCCTATTTCCCCTAGGCCTTTTCTTTTTTTTAGACCCAGGGTAGGGCCTTGGACCTTTTGGGTTTCACCGCAGAACAAAACACATCCCCCTATGATATATATTTTTAAACAAAAAAATTTTTTTTTTTTGAACTTTTTGTAATGGCTTAGTTCGAAATCCGATCAAGGGAGGAAGATATGCACTTTTTTAATGGCACTAGTCATTGAGGCATAAAGGTTAAGTGCTAAACAAAATTTTTAAAAAAAATACACAATTATTATTTTTATTTTACATATATTTTACATACTTAAATTAAATTTTTTTATAAAAAGATCCAAGCCGTTGGATTCAAAATCCGACACTTGATTGAGAAAATGTCACATGCTTGTGACGGGCCTCACCAACCGACACACACATGTCAGCCCGGTCAAAAATTGTGGTAAAATAAGGCCGAAACAATGTTGTTTTGATCCATCGACCGAAAAAAAAAAAAAATCAGAGCTGATCCCTATGCAGAGAAACCGGCTTTGTTCTCTTTTTTGCTTCAATGACCTCAGTCCTATTTTCACAAGATTAAATATTAATTTTGATCCTTCAATTTTAAAATTTTATATAATTTTTATCTTTTATTTTTTTATGTATTTATCTTATCCCTTAATTATAAAAAAACAAGATTATCAATATTATTTCATACTGACCAATACAATTAGTGCATATTGATTTTAAACTTAATCTGAAATGATACAAAATTAATTTTTATTATATCAAATACTAGTCGTTTTGATCAAAATTTTGTATACTAACAATATTTCAGCTTAGTAACCGACACACCAAAACCTTGGCACTATGAAGTTTTTTTTTTCTATCTAATTTTTTTTAAAAAATACCACTTACCAAATTATGTTGTAAAAATATGTTTATCTTTTAAACAAATACAATTATGAATGTACTTATCTTTTCATGAACAAAATATCTCTAGTTTCCCAATATGTATACACAAATCGTGAGTCACGTGTCAAATTACTATTATTTTTTACTAAATAGGACAAATGATTATTTAATTAAATTTAAACTTGAAAAAATACATTATAAATCTAAAAAAATATTTAATTTTTCTAGTTGTATTGGGTTTAGATTCAAATAAATATATGAATCTTTATACATAAATGCAGAATATGTTAATATATTATTTTTTTAATATTATAATATTAATAGCTCATGAATTTTGTCATGTTGAATATGTTTTTAATTTCTAAAAAATTAGTTTTATAAGTATTAAATTTTTTTATACTCATTAAATATCATTTCATAGTTATGTATTTAGTTTATACAAAATATATATTTATAACAATAAATCTAAAATGGTACACTAAAAATTTTGATATTCGATATGTACGTTTTAATAATAAAAGCAGTATGCATGTCAATATAATATTAATAATTTTGATAAAAAAAATGTATTATTTTAGTTATTTTGTTAATTAGTCTGTTAAATCTGTTCTAATATGCACATTTTTAATCTTTCAATTTAAAAATTTAGAAGCTAAAAATATGTATATATGACCTATCATAACCAATTTTTTCTAGCTCTTTTAATATTTTTGTCAAAATCTCAATTTTTTTAGAATATTAATTTTCCATAAATTCTTATGTTTTAAATGAAAATTTAAATATTTGAGCTTTGACTTGGTGTGCGAAATTAACTCGGAAAA